TATAGTAAAGGTGCATATATATACACATACATACTTAAACCATGTAGGATGTTGTAAAATTAGTATGACCTTGTCTAGTCTTCAAACTTAAAATAAAACTTTTGAAAATCTGGGATACTTTTGAAGCAGTTGTAATTAAACACATTTGTAATAATACACAAATTGTCTGAATGTGACTGCCCACTGCTCTTGACTACATCTCAGTTGTGGTATTTTATTTTTTCCTTTTTATAGGAGAACTAAACCTAAACAAAAAAAATAACCCCAGAAATATTAATATCCTTCAGCAGCTTTCTAAAAGCATCAAAATGTATGAATTCCTCCCACTTCTTTTGATAATGAAAATTTCTCTGAAATACTAATAATCTGAAGTTATATTTTGCCTTATACTGTTATCTTCTAAAAATGTTATCTTCTAGCACCAATCTGCCCATTAGTAATCAACTGCTATTGTTACTTTCCATTGTTTGCTCAGTTCAGGATGCTCAGGAGTACAATGAAGAAATTCAGTCAGCAGTAAGCAACTATACACCAGTAATGATATATTTATGCAACTGCAGATGATGCTAAAAAAAACATAACCCTTGACTTCTTTAAAGAGACTGATTTCTGGTTTTCTGCTAATCACTGGTGAAGTACTAAGTTTGTGTACTTCATATTATATAGTAATTTTCTAAGGAGTCAAAATTTTAGGAAAGATAATTATATCAAATAATGGTTCCTTAGTTGAAGGACTAAGTAAAGGCTTCAATAAATCTCTGATAGTTCTTATTGTTGTTAAGTGCCATTGAGTTGGTTCCAACTCACTTGAACTACTGACCTTGCGGTCCAATGCATTAGTCAACAGCACCACACCAGGTAGTTCTTAGTACTAGCTTATAGTAATTAACACTCCCTGATAGTTCTTTGTACTAGCTTATCATATGTGCCGATGCATTCATACATGGTCCTGTGTAACTACACTTCAGTATGAAGAGTGCAACAGTGTTGTTAGCTTTACTTTTGTACTTAAACAAACATGAATGTGCTTTTATTAGTAAAAGTAATTATACATGTTTTCAATAAAACAGTAAACATCAATATAGTATCTATTCAAACTAAAAATTCACTAACTAAAATTCAATAGAAATTTTTCAACTAGAAGGCTTTTAAAACTACTAATTCAAGATGTAGATAATAGAGTTATATAGTCTGACCTTGTTGAAATTTGGCACCATAGAATAAGCATTGGATAGCAAAGTCAGTGGTTCTATACCACAAGCTGCTCTTCAGAACCCCTACACAGGGTTGCTATGAGTTGGAATCAACTCGATGGTACTTAACAGCAATAACTACTGATATGTATATACACATAAATTTATATATATGGGAGGTGCTGTGGCTCTGTTTGGTAAGCGCTGGACTGCGAACCACAAGGTATATGGTTTGAGTCTGCTAGGCACACCGCAAGAGAAAAGTAAGGATTTCTACTCCACAAAGAAATAAAAGCCTCGAAAACCATAAATATGGTTACTATGAATCAGAACTGACTACATGGCACTTAACAACAATTATATACATACTTACATATAGACGGAGCTCTGGTAGTGTAGTGGTTACTAATCGGGCTGCTAACTTCAGGGTCATCAGTTCGAAACTACCAGCTGTTCCATGGGAGAAAGATGAGGCTTTCTGCTCCCGTAAAGATTTATAGCCTTGAAAACCCTGTACAGGGTCACTATGAGTCGAAACCAACCTAATGGCACAGAACAACAGCCTATATTGATACATATTGCTCTGCAAGGTCAGTGCCTCAAGCTCACCAGCTACTCCTCAGAAACCCTATACAGGATTGCTATGGGTAAGAATCGACTCGATGGCACTTAACAACAACAACAAGGTTATATGTGAAATTAATAACTAAATCAATGGAGAGTACTTTCTCTTAGTAATCTAAAATTTAAAAATACTTAAAACTTTATCATTGAAAGCATGTCTGTAAGTATAGACTTTGTAAAGAAACATTCATTTTTGTTGCCAGAAAAATAATTCTCTCTCTTCCCAAAGTGTACTTTTACTAAGTATTAACAATTAAATAAGTATATTGTTTCTTTGTGAAAATATGTTGATGCTAGCATTTGAGATGCAAAAGGATCCTTTTACCTAAGCAAAGAAAATGGTGAATTAAAACACTTTGCTAGGTGAGAAATGTCTGAGTTACCCTGAAACAAAAAGCATTGTCATTTATTTTCTCAAAGAAAAAGAGTACCTACTATAAGTAACAATTTTTCTATTGATTTTGAAGGGGAAATAGGTCTCTTTGATTCTATTGCAGTAAATGCCTATAATTCACGTTGGTTGCTTCAACATTGCTGCCAAGTAAAATGTTTTTGAGTAGGCAAGTGGCACTACTCAAAGAGTTATTTCTATTAGATAAATCTGGTGGAAGAAACAGGAAAACATTTTTTGGAAAAGGCTCTATATTTAGATTTTTGTTTATTTGTGTTTTGGTTGTGTTTTTCTTTTTTCCCCCATAGCCTGGCAAAAGTTGATTGAGTTATTTGAAAACACAAATGCTGTGGAAATATGGTGTTGCAGTATCAGTAAATGGTCATCATGTTACATGATTAAACATTTCATACAATAACTTCTTCTGGTATAATTTTATTTTGACCTACTGAAAAGCATGAAACATGGTTTTCCATGTTGTTCGTTGCTGTTGAGTTGGTTCTACTGTTATACAATAGAACAAAACACTGCCCAGTCCTCAC